AGTTGGGTGCACTCAGGGGCCGCGACCTGGTCTCAGTCCTGCGCCAAGTCCATGCCCACCATCAGGGGCTCTGGTGAAAAGGGAGACTGGGGCTTAGACTCCGCGCCCTGGGGAATCCCGTTCTGTGGGTACTAGAGATCCCGCCGGGCGGTGCCTGACAGTACCTAACGGCCTGCCTGACCATTCCACCTCTCCAGCCCTGACTACGCCTGTGTTCCCACACATTTCTGGTTATACCCGGATCCTTAACAGTATGATACTTACTTTTTTATTCTTTCAATAAATATTTTTAAATGATAATGCACTAGGCCGGTGCGCCCTTTTTGTTTTTTTCATTTGCATAAAATAATAGGCCCTCTCTATTTGTCCTACTGACCATTGGGACAGAAAGTCATGCCAAAGAAAAACATCTACAGAAAACTTTCTGAACCTTTTTTTTACCCAGAAAAACCCCTAAATTATTTTCAGGTTTCCAAGAAGCATGCCTAATAAACACAACTGGAGCAACAAATTCAATTCATCAGGGGTACGGGGGGTCTCTTACATTGGTGGTCAATAGGAAGAATGCAATCCTGACAGTAATGGTCAGAATGCCAATCTTACAGACAGCTAAAAAGATGATTGGGTCACCTCTGCTTTTTTGCCAAACAGCATTGGCCCCTGAACTATGCAGGCACCTTCAGATAGGAGGTCATTCAGCCACAGCTCAAGAAACCCCTAGCAATCTCTGGAGAAACCTTAGGGTTCCATGGAACCCTGGTTGAGAATGGTTGATCTATAAGATTGGTAGTTGGAATAATGGATGAGGATGAGAAGCACAATAATGGATGGTCTTGAAAACCTTTGATTGTCAGAATGCTAACCTTACAGACAGCTAAAAAGATAATTGGGTCACTTCTGCTTTTTTGCCAAATTGCATTGGCCCTGGAACTATGCAGGCACCTTCAGATAGGAGGTCAATCATCCACAGTTTAAGACACCCCTAGCAACCTATGGAGAAACCGTAGGGTTCCATGGAACCTTGGTTGAAAATTGCTGATCTACAAGATTGTTAGTTGGAATAATGGATGAGGATGAGAAGCACCATAAATGATGGTCTTGAAAACCTTTGATTGTCAGAATGCCAACCTTACAGACAGCTAAAAAGATAATTGGGTCACCTCTGCTTTTTTCAAATAGCAATGGCCCTGGAACTATGCAGACACCTTCAGATAGGAGGTCAATCAGCCACAGCTCAAGAAACCCCTAGCAACCTCTGAAGAAACCTTAGAGTTCTATGGAACCCTGGTTGAGAATGGCTGATATACAAGATTGTTAGTTGGAATAATGGATGAGGATGAGAAGCACCATAATGGATGGTCTTGAAAACCTTTGATTGTTATAAATTTTGTTTACCTTTCACCTGTCATTATCAGAGGGGAGGTCAATCAAGAACAGTTTAAGGAACTCCTAGAAACCTTTGGAGGAACCCTATGGCTCCAAGGAAACCTGATTGAGATTGGCTGATCTTTAACATTGTTGGCTGGAATAACGGATGTGGATGAGGAGCACCATAATGGATGGTCTTGATTTTAATTTGATAAATACCTTTAATGGATAAAAATCTTTATTTTAAAATATATGTTTAATATAAAGTCATCATACTTCTGCATTTTGGACACACATTTTCATATGGACTAGATGTTCAATAACCAGTTGTGCTCATTAGGCATGCTACACATGCCCAAAAATACTTCATCGAAGTACACAGGGAGTGTGTAGTACATCCTGTCCTTCTGCCCCTCTGCCATTCCCCTTTTCCCCCCTCTGAATTGACAGCTGGGAGTAGCTGTGTAAAATATTGCTGCTACCAAAAACAGACCTTCTGACATAGTGTTGATAAATATTGTTCAGAGGCTAGATATAGAGATACAAGTATAGCGGGGCCATTGCTGTTTCCCTTTTAAAAAACTGTTTCCCTTTTAAGACTACATGTTGTCAGAAAGGGTTTGATTGGCTCAGCTCTCAGCAGTGCTGGAGTGTTTGTGGGAGTTGCAGTTTCATCACAGGGGCAGACATTGCAACCTTTGGCTGCAGAGGACTACATGGACCAGGATGCTTTGCAGGGAGGAGGGAGCAAGTTTTTTTTGGTTCTCTATAAAAAGAAGAGCTGGGTGCCCAGGAATGGGGAGGAGGGTCGGTGAGCCACAAGTGCCTTTGCAGAGGACATGTGGGAGCTGGTCTGCAGCCCCTACTGTTGAAGTACACTGACAATGTTGAGCACACAGAGACACACAACAGAAAGGTTGAGTCCATTTTCCACCATTGTAACTGGTTGCCGGTGTGATTTTCTATATTGTCAGAACCTGTTCATTGATACAGGTGAATTTAATTACAAGCATCACAAGCTTTGGGCAATTATTTCTTACGATTTTCAGAAGGTGCCAATAATCTTGTCCAGTCCATTTTTCAGAGTTTTTGGGTGGAATGTCTCAGATTTGGCTTTTTGTTTCTCCTTTTTTTTATGTCATACCAATACAAAACAAAAGAAATAAACATGAGAATGCCAAAACATTTATAATTACGATGATCTGGGCGAAGTGGTGCATTGTCTGACAGAAATGCAGGGGTGCCAATATTTTTGGCCATGAAAATTGTTGCAATTATAAATGTTTCAGCATTCTCATGTTTATTTCTTTTGTTTGTATTGGTATGACATAAAAAAGTGGAGAGACAAAAAGCCAAAACTGAGACATTCCACCCAAAACTCTCAAAATGGACTGGACAAAATTATAAGAGTACCCACATCATTCGGGAGCACCTGGAGCAAGTGTTAAGTCAGTCAGGGAAAGTGGGAAAAGACCCCCATGCTGGTGAGGGAAAGTGGAGAAAGTGGAGAGCTCTCTGAGAACCTGACATAGTCCTGATGAGAGAGAAAGTGTATAGTGCGTGGAGAGCTCTCTGAGAACTGACAGAGTCCATGAGGGAAAGTGTATAGCGCGTGGAGAGCTCTCTGAGAACCTGACAGAGTCCATGAGGGAAAGTTTATATCGCGCGTGGAGAACTCTCTGTGAACCTGACAGAGTCCATGAGGGAAAGTGTATAGCGCGTGGAGAACTCTCTGAGGACCTGACAGAGTCCATGAGGGAAAGCGTATAGCGCGTGGAGAACTCTCTGAGAACCTGACAGAGTCCATGAGGGAAAGTGTATAGCGCGTGGAGAACTCTCTGAGAACCTGACAGAGTCCATGAGGGAAAGCGTATAGCGCGTGGAGAACTCTCTGAGAACCTGACAGAGTCCATGAGGGAAAGCGTATAGCGCGTGGAGAACTCTCTGAGAACCTGACAGAGTCCATGAGGGAAAGCGTATAGCGCGTGGAGAACTCTCTGAGAACCTGACAGAGTCCATGAGGGAAAGTGTATAGCGCGTGGAGAACTCTCTGAGAACCTGACAGAGTCCATGAGGGAAAGTGTATAGCGCATGGAGAACTCTCTGAGAACCTGACAGAGTCCATGAGAGGACAATTTCCCCAATTGACCCCACCTCATTTGTAATAATGGCACAGTGCCACCTACAGGATGGATGGAAAACTGCACCTGCCTACGGGTGTGTCTGGGAACACCTCCCCCAGGTAAGCAAAATAAGTTTCCAGATTACCACCTTGCTAATGAACAAAAAAGGATGGACTGATGTACCACAGCAAAACCTGCCGAAAAAAGAAATGAATCCATGACTGTCCTCCCTGGTCATAGTTTAATGATGACTTTTTCAGTTTAGAATCCCTTTCATCCTCCCGCACTTCATATTTTCACTTGTTTTTTTTTTCTATTTCCATCCCCTTGTCGTTGAGTGACTATTCCCCAGTAAATGAATCGTACAGCCCCGGAGCCTCGCAAATATTTCACTGCCCCGGTCCTCGCCATTATCTCCCCGTCCTTTCATTTACAGCCAAAGACAAAGTTTTTCCTCTCCTTCCCTCCAAACAAGGTCACTAAACATTCTTGTCATGTCCCCTCCTCTCTACATCGCCCTCCGAAGCTTCATCTCCGTCTCTGAGCCTGGAGAAAAATAACAAGTAACTGGGGATTTCATTTGCTGCAGGGGGTTCAACTGCTCTTCCAGCACCGAATGTTTATTGTTAATCTCCAGGCAAAAGACGGCGCATCAAGGCTCTCTGATTTTCACCGCGCACGTAGGACCCGAGTGCAAATAATCTTTTTTTGCAGAACGCGCCTGTCGGTTTAAATGTGTTTACGTTCTCCCGTCGCTCTTGGAATGTCTTCGAATATTCCTCTTATTCTTCTCTTTTCATTTTCCAATACCGTTTGCTGGTCTTTGTCGGTAGAACGCCGACACCGGCTCTCTAAAGTGTGTGGATTCCGCAGCCGGGGCAAGAGGAGACGCTGGAGCTCTAGGCGGACCGCTAAGTGCATAGGTCACCTGTTTTACCCGTCAAACGGGTTGTACGTTTTGTCTGGACAGTTTTGAGACCCTGCCTTGAATTAAAGCTGAAAGTCAGGCACCTAAAAAAAATACAGAGCTGTTTTATCTACTAAGGTATTTGCATTTTTGTCCATACAGTCTTGAGATTTACACAGCTCTGCTGCAGCACACAGCCCTGCCTGGCAGAGCTTAAATTTCAGCAACACTTACAGGTCTTATCTCCTCCCAACCAGTGAATGGACAGTAAAAGGAGAAGCAGCAGACTGATGAGGTCATCTCTCTGATCTCTCCTCCCGTCGGCATGTTCATTGTTCACACTTGAGCTGTAGTTCTTCTCTTTCCCCCAGTCTGAGTTTTGCTGCAAAGGGATTGCAACAGGCTGACACCAGGTCAAATTTATGCAGATTCCGCAGCCGGGGCAAGAAGAGACGCTGGAACTCTAGGCAGGCAGCTAAATACACATGTGCATATGGTATGTCACCTGTTTTACCTGTCAAAAGGATTAGTAAAAGGAGAAGCCGCACCCACAAGTGGTGGGAAGACCTATATGTGGTATTACTCCCTGACCTTCCGACTTCCAGAGATACACCATACTGCCAAAAGTATTGGGCCACCCTCCAAATCATGTGATTCAGGTGTTCCAATCCCCTCCATGGACACAGGTGTATACAATCAAGCCCCTAGGCATGCAGACTGCTTCTACAAACATTGGTGAAAGAATGGGTCGCTCTCAGGAGCTCAGTGACTCCAAGCGTGGTCCCGTGATAGGTGGCCACCTGTGCAATAAGTCCATCCGGGGTCCAGGGGGCAAAAAGAGACGCTGGAACTCTCGGCAGACAGACAAATACACATGTGCATACAGTATGTCACCTGTTATACCTGTCAAAGGATTTGTAAAAGGAGAAGAAGCACCCACAAGTGGTAGGAAGACCTCCATGTGGTATTACTCCCTGACCTTACTACTTTCAGAGATATATGATATTGCCAAAAGTATTGGTCCCACCCTCCAAATCATGTGATTCAGGTGTTCCAATCCCCTCCCAATCATGTGATTCAGGTGTTCCAATCCCCTCCAAATCATGTGATTCAAGTGTTCCAATCCCCTCCATGGACACAGGTGTATAAAATCAAGCCCCTAGGTATGCAGACTGCTTCTACAAACATTGGTGAAAGAATGGGTCGCTCTCAGGAGCTCAGTGACTCCAAGCGTGGTCCCGTGATAGGTGGCCTCCTGTGCAATAAGTCCATCTGTGACATTTCCTGGCTACTAAATATTCCACGCTCAACTGTTAGTGGGATTATAACAAAGTGGAAGCAACTGGGAACAACAGCCACTCAGCCACCAAGTAGTAGGCCACGTCACATGACAGAGCGGAGTCAGCACATGCTGAAGCGCACAGTGCGCAGAAGTCGCCAACTGTCTGCAGAGTCAATAGCTGCAGCCCTCCAAACTTGGTGTGGCCTTCAGATGAGCCCAACAACAGTGCGTAGAGAGCTTCATGGAATGGGTTTCCATGGCTGAGCAGCTGCATCCAAGCCTTACATCACCAAGTGCAATGCAAAGCGTTGGATGCCGTGGTGTAAAGCATGCCACCACTGGACTCTAGAGCAGTGGAGATGGGTTCTCTGGAGTGACCAATCATGCTTCTCTGTCTGGCAATCCAATGGACATGTCTGGGTTTGGCGGTTGCCAGAAGAGCAGTACTTGCCTGACTGCATTGTGTCAAGTGTAAAGTTTAGTGGAGGTGGGATTATGGTGTGGGGTTGTTCTTCAAATGTTGGGCTTGGCCCCTTATTTCCAGTGAAGGGAACTCTTAAAGCGACATTTTGGACAATTTCATGCTCCCAACTTTGTGGGAAGAGTTTGGGGATGGCCCCTTCCTGTTCCAACATGACTGCGCACCAGTGCACAAAGCAAGGTCCATAAAGACATGGAGGAGCCAGTTTGGGGTGGAGGAACTTGACTGTCCTGCACAGAGTCCTGACCTCAACCCCATAGAACACCTTTGGGATGAATTAGAGCGGAGACTGTGAGCCAGGCCTCCTCCCCCGACATCAGTGCCTGACCTGACAAATGTGCTTCTGGAAGAATGGTCCAACCTTCCCATAGACATCCTCCTAAACCTTGTGGACGGCCTTCCCAGAAGAGTTGAAGCTGTTATAGCTGCAAAGGGCGGGGCCAACTCAATATTGAACCCTACGGGCTAAGACTGGGATGCCATTAAAGTTCATGTGTGTGGAAATGCCGGCGGCCCAATACTTATGGCAATATTGTGTATCTACTATTGTATGGGTCTTTGCACGCGATGTTCCTGGTATAGTTGACTCATTGAGGAAATCCCCAGATCATCACCATGCCTTGATCACAATGTACTGGTATTATTGCAATGTTTTACATTTTTGGAACCTGCTGTTCTTTAACCTCTTGCCTACAGGGCCTTTTCACCCCCTTCCTGTCCAGGCCAATTTTCATCTTTCAGTGCTGTCACACTTTGAATGACAATTGCACAGTCATGCAACACTGTACCCGTATGAAATTTTTAGCATTTTTTCACACATTTTTTTTCTGCTAAACCAACGAAAAAGACCAAAAATGTTGAAAAAAAAAGTTTTTCTTAGTTTCTATTACAAAAATTTGCAAACAGGTAATTTTTCTCCTTCATTGATGTGTGCCGATGAGGCTGCAGTGATGGATACTGAAAGGCGGCACTGATGGGCACTGATAGGCAGCACTGATAGGCAGCTCTGATGGGCACGGATAGGCTGCATTGATGGGCACTGATGAGGCGATACTGATGGGGTGGCACTGATGAAGTGGCACTAATGGGCACTGATGGGAGCACTGATGGGCAATGATAGTCGGCAATGATGGGCAATAGGCAACACTGATGTGTGCTGATGAGGCTGCGGTGATGGGCATTGATAGGCAGCACTGATGGGCACTGATAGGCAGCACTGATGGGCACAAATAACCAGCACTGATGGCAGCACTGATTTGCACTGATAGGCAGCACTGATGGATACTGATAGGAAGCACAGATGGGCACTGAAAGATGGCACTAATAGGCAGCGCTGATGGGCACTGATAGGCTGCATTGATGGGCACTAATGAGGCTGCCCTGATAGGGGGCACTGATGGGCACTGATAGTCGGCAATGATGGGCAATAGGCAACACTGATGGGCAATAATAGACAACACTGACTGGCAGCACTGATGGTCACTGATTGGCAATACTGATGGGAACTGACTGGCATGAATAGGCAGCATGATGGGCACTGTTGAGGTTCCACTGATAATCATGGTACTGATAATCAGTGCCTTGATTATCAGTGTAGATGTCCCCTTTCACATTTGCCGGTTATCAGCAGTACTTTCCTCACACTGTGACAGCATTAAGAAAAGTACTGCCAATAATCAGCAAGTGTGTTTACATCAGTGGGAGGAGATTTTGCATTGATGTCAATGGGAGGTGATTTTACATTGAAGTCAATGGGACATCATTTTGCATTGAAGTCAATGGGAAGGGATTTTGCATTGAAGTCAATGGGAGGCAGCGTGTGAACCCAGGTGCCCGGATGCAATTTCTAGTCACCATGGCGACCTGGTGCCTGGGATTTGTCGAGCCCTGCTATACATGCATATCAAGGCTTTGTCTTTAATTTTGTTCAGAAAATAAATCTATAGATGACGTCATTAACCAATAAATGAATAGATACCAGTTTCTGCTGGGACCCGGCTCCTGATCTCAGACATCTCTGCTTTGTAAGATGTTAACGTCTCCGTTCCGACTCTCTGATCAAATTCATTTGAAGATAGAAGAGATAGAAGAAGAGCACAGCGAGATAACCCGGGATGAGGCTTCCTACAAAGGCATCACAGGAGCCTGACTGCGACTGATGAGATGAGAACACCTTCTAATGAACACAAAGCAGCCATCCCCCAGATTGCAGAGCGCTGAGATAAGAGTAATTGTTCTCATTACACAGAAAACCATTCACAAAAAAGGTATTTAAAGACTCAAAGATATACAAGAACTGGGATGAATACACTGAGCTGTGTGATAAAAACATTGCTTTCTTTTCTTTTTTTTTCTCAGAATTTGAAAAGACACCAGTTGTCCAGGTATGTATTTATAGAGAGTCGAAACAAAATGAACATTCCGGAAATCTCGGTAGGGGTTGTTGTACAGCTGTGCTATCTAGCTGGGTTTTTATAGCTGAACTCCAGGCAGTTATAAAAGACATAAATTATTATTATTATACAATACTGTATAATAAATAATACGGCTCTGTAGTCCCCAACACATCATTAAAGTGTTTCTAAACCCAGGACCCCACATTCACTATATCCGGTCTCCCCGGACCCCGCATTCACTATATCTGCTCTCCCCGGACCCCGCATTCACTATATCCGGTCTCCCCGGACCCTGCATTCACTATATCTGGTCTTCCCAGACCCCGCATTCACTATATCCAATCTCCCCAGACCCTGCATTCACTATATCCGCTCTCCCCAGACCCCGCACTCACTATATCTGGTCCCTGGACCCCGCATTCACTATATCCGGTCTCCCCGGACCCTGCATTCACTATATCCGCTCTCCCTGGACCCTGCATTCACTATATCCGGTCTCCCCGGACCCCGCATTCACTATATCTGGTCTCCCCGGACCCCGCATTCACTATATCCACTCTCCCCGGACCCTGCATTCACTATATCTGCTCTCCCCGGACCCTGCAGTCACTATATCTGGGCTCCCTGGACCCTGCATTCACTATATCTGGTCTCCCCGGACCCTGCATTCCCTATATCTGGTCCCCCGGACCCTGCATTCACTATATCCGCTCTCCCCGGACCCTGCATTCCCTATATCTGGTCCCCCCGGACCGTGCATTCACTATATCCACTCTCCCCGGACCCTGCATTCACTATGTCTGCTCTCCCCAGACCCTGCATTCACTATATCTGGTCTCCCCGGACCCCGCATTCACTATATCCGCTCTCCCTGGACCCTGCATTCACTATATCCGCTCTCCCCGGACCCCGCATTCACTATATCCGCTCTCCCCGGACCCTGCATTCACTATATCCGGTCTCCCTGGACCCTGCATTCACTATATCCGCTCTCCCCGGACCCCGCATTCACTATATCCTCTCTCCCCAGACCCTGCATTCACTATATCCACTCTCCCCGGACCCTGCATTCACTATATCCGCTGTCCCCGGACCCTGCATTCACTATATCCGCTCTCCCCGGACCCTGCATTCACTATATCCGCTCTCCCCGGACCCTGCATTCACTATATCCGCTCTCCCCGGACCCGGCATTTACTATATCCGCTCTCCCCGGACCCTGCATTCACTATATCCGCTCTCCCCGGACCCTGCATTCACTATATCCGCTCTCCCCGGACCCTGCATTCACTATATCTGCTCTCCC